TGTACGTTCATTGTGTGTTCAAATATTGAGATTTCATCTTAGTTCCAAATAAACCACCAAAACGCAAAATTTCGCATCGAAAATCTCAAATATTCAATAAATTCCATTTTGAATGATTACCTCAATAAACTTCTCAAATTCCCTCAAATAGAATATTTAAAAAATAAAGTCTGTTCACGGAGGAACAAATTTAATAGAAAAACCTATCGAATTCGTTAGAAAATTCTATTGAATTTCTATTGAACTGTTCTATTAGTTGTTGGCCGATTCTATTGAAATGTTCAATAGAGAATATTCAGTAGAAAAAGTCAATAGAATTCAATTTTTCTATATAACTTATTCTATTGAGATATTTTCTATAGAATTTTCTCGGCTCAAATTTTCCAAATTTTTTCGTTTCATTTTCTTGATGAGAAGAAAAGAAAACTAGAATGAAAAAAACTTGGAAAATTTGAGTCGAGCAAATTCTAATGAAAATATATGAAAAGAATAAGTTATATAGAAAAATCGACTTCTGTTAACTTTTTCTATTGTCAATAGAATCAGCCAAAAACTAATAGAAAGTTTAATAGAAATTCGATAGAATTTTCTAACGAATTCGATGCGTTTTTCTATTAAATTTTTTCGTGCGTGTTACGTTGAGCACTCATTCGTAGCTCAATCAGAGTTGGAATTATTTTCACCCATATTGAAAATGGAACACAACATTCAATTGAATTTTATTTTGAAAGATTTAATTGAGTTGAAATCAAAATTTTAATTTCATTGACCATTCCAAAAATTAATAACCCACAGATTAATTATTTTATCAGAAATTTCAGGAGTTATTTTCTACCAATATAAAGTGAATGTCTCAGCAGTTGAACGATATTGAACATTCACCGTATTGTATGAGTATCTAATAAATTAGTTGTCATTCACTTCATTTAGTTCATTCAGAGGGACAAATTACCACGTTCACTGTAAATTTTTCCCCCATCAAAATTTATCTCATTGTTCGTTCGCGCCTTACTACATGCAATTTTTTTTTAACATCTTCGGAGCATTTTTTGTAAGATCTTTGGAAAACAATTTTTTTTGGAAATCTGTGTCGGAAGATATTCGAAAGACAGAAATTTTTCTACGCGGGCATGCGAAATACCATAAATAAAATCTTGAACAAATATGCAATGAATGAAATTCCGAATAATTACCCCAATAAACTCCCCAAAATCCCCCAAATAGAATATGAAAAACCCCTAATAATCCGATAAATCCCCAAAATTAATGCGACAGGAATCTCCCAATGCGATTAAAACACAATACCCTTAAATCCTCAGCATACGTAACTATTCAACTATCCCTCCCCCCCCCCCCCC